CTGACAAAACTCGCCTACGGGCTGTCGTAAATTCACCAACAACGCATTCTCTGTAAATCGTAAATACAAAATGTAAAATCACGAAGCTATTTTTCACAGTGATTAGTGTCGGGGAGGAGAGGCTCCAGTATCACAGTGTGGTGTAACGCCGCGCCCTGCCCCGCCCTCCCGCTCCAGTTCCAGTTCCGCCTCCAGGACTCCAGAGGGCCCGACTCTCCAGGCGGCGGCGGCGCCCTGGAGAACACGTAACGGGGTGACAAGCACAACACGGCATGCATTGAGGTGGACAGGGCAAGCCCAATCAGGGCGCGCTGTTCCGGGGCGGCGGCGGACAGCGCGACCGGACAGCCTATTCAACACCCTGCGCGCTGGGGAAACCGAGAGGGAAACAGTGAAATAGGATGGATAGAGAGGCAGATACAGGGAGGGACTGAGAGAAACAGAGAGAGACGAGATGGACTGACTGAGGAGTGCAGATTTAAATTTTCCGGAAAAGTTCAAGTTTTTCAAAAAAAAAATCTTGAAAATTTTCCGGGAAAATTTGGTACAAAATAAAGTTTATTTTTATTTTCAAAGTTTTTGTTTTCTTCACTGTTTTTTTTTCCGCAACTTCTCCTGGTTTTTTTTCGGCTTTCAAATCCCTATTGAGGAGAGAGAGAGAGAGAGAGAGAGAGAGAGAGAGAGAGAGGGAGCGGCACCGTTTAGCCGGGTAATCTAACCATCCATCTCCAACAGACTCGCCTGCCGGTTGTTGAGGCCCTTCCCAATTATAATAACGCCCGTGCGCGGCCGACGCCGTCGTAGGACTTCCCTGTCTGGTCTTGACGAAACCCCGTCAGGTCAGCACCATAGCCACCAGCCGCCGCCGCCGACTCAGCCAACGCAATCGCCGCGCGGCTGTATAGAGTTGACCGGGCTCGCGGGTCACATGGATCGAAAAACACAACCACCGCGCAACCGGATTGCTCGGGTCCGAGCGCAGTCACTGGGAGGCCCCACCACCACCGCCGCCGCCCCGGCCTATAGCAGCGCGGCAGGGCAGGTTATTGCATAGAGAGCCTGCTGACGCGTAGGCCCGTGCGGCCCCGGTATACGACGGCCCGGCGCTGCGGCAGGGGTCATCGCAGGAAACCGGGTCCACGTGCTGCAAAAAGCAAAAGCAACATAAATTTTAAAAAAACACAAAAAAAAAAAAAAATATTTTTTACTTTAAAAGACTAAGAAATAATGTGATTTCAAAAGTAAATTTTTCAACAAATTTTTTTTAAAAAACTCCCCGCCGAACTTTATGAGCGTGCCAATTTTCTTATTATGAGTTTTTTTGCGAACGTGTGTGTGGCGGCGTGTCCACCCGCTCTGCTGACAACAGTTGTTGACCTGTTGCTGCTGGAGAGAAGATGGCGGAGGTGGAGGTGGTGGCCGGCAACTCCCAGCAGACCAGTCACCGCGGCGCCGGGTGTGCCGGTGCCGGCGCTGTTGCATCAGGCAGGCTCTGCTGTGCAAGTCAAAGGGCATAGGCGATGATACAAATTGTGGCTGGCTGTGGGATGAGTTCGGGCCGAGCCGAGCCGGGCCGAGCCGAGCCGATGAGCCCGAGCATCACGACTCGCCGGCTCGGTGCTTCGCTTCCCCGTCGTGACACCGATATACACGGCCGGCGTCGTCGTGGACCTCGCGCGGGCGCGCCGCCACTCCCCGCGTCGTGTATGGCTTCGGCTGGACTCGGTCCTCCCGCCGGCTCGGCTCGGCTCGGCTGCAGGTTGGGATAGAGGCTACCGGGGAAGGTCGTCCGAGCAACGATCCCTAATAGTAATGGCGCCTTAGCGCCGATCCGCGCGAATACCCTTTATTGCGGCAAGAAGGGAATAACCCCTCTCCCCCTCCCC